GTGTCAATGCGACCGCAGCTGGCACACGCAGTGTGACTACAGATGCATTCTCTGCTGGCTTGAGCCTGACAGTGACGTCGCCGCGGCTCTGGGACTCTGGGCCTTGTGGTGGCGCCTCTGCCGTGGTGCGCCTGCCGTGTGCCCTTCCGCCCCGGGGGCCCGTCTCCCCGCCTGTGGGTGCGTTTGCACTGTGGGGTTGCGGGTTGGTCCTCATGGGAGGCCTCTGGCCCCCACACTCAGAACGTGCTACCCCAGAGGCTTGTTCTCGTTATCTTTATTTTTCACATAAATAACATTTGTTCCTAAATACGGTGCTGGTGACCTCTCCTAGCGGACTCTCGGGGGCTGTGTTCTCTGGGGGGCGCCGTGTACTCCGTTCCCTGTGGTCACTCATGTGTCTGCAGGACCCAGTGTTGAGTGTTCCGTGTGGGGACATGGTCGTCTAACGTGAGGTTAACCTGACGGCTTCCCACAGAGGCAGAAGTGTTCCGATCCGCTTCCTCCGCTGGCCGCCGCCTGTGGCTCTTGGGTTGGTGTTTTTAATGAGGCATTAAACTAAACCCTGGAGATTTTGTTCCAACTTTATCTAGGACCCACGGAGGCCCTGCAGCATCTGGCCCTGGATATGTGAGGCCAGCCCCCACTCTAGGCACAGGGAGGGCACCAGCCCTCGGTTCACCAAATGGTAACCCTCGCAGGCCACGGGCTACCCCCATTCAGGCCTCAGTTGGTGCTGATTTGAAGTGAAGGCAGAAACGTTGCCTCTACAGGATCCTGAATTTGAACGGAGTTCTTGAATGGATTCTGAGCGAGGTGGGGAGGCTCACCCCCTGCCCGTCCCTTGGTGGATTTAGGGGAGCAGGTGCCTGAGAGGCGCCAGCCACATCGTGGGGCCTCCCTGGACGCCTCTGTCCACTTCTTACAGCCCAGACACTCCAAAGGGAAGCCCCTGGGGCCAGGAGGGGGTCCCAGTGAATTCTTGAGGGCGGCAGAGGAGAGGGAAGAGGGCCGCTGACTGGGACTTCTAACTTCCTGGACCCGGGAGTTGTTCCTCGTGGAGGGTTTGGGATTGGGGTGTTGCCCTGGGCTTCCTGGGAGCAGGCCCTGCTGACCTCAACGCTGCGCTCTGTCCTTAAGGGTCTCGGGGTGGTTTTCAGAAGCCCCAGTCCTCTCCTGGGGCACTGCTGGCTGTCTTCCGGCGTGGGGCCATGTGCCTAGGCTCAGGGGGCAGTGGGCCTCTTCCTCGGCATCACCCACCCCCACGCCGAGCGCCTGTGCTGGCCCGTGGGGGGCGGGGCGGTGCTTGGGCATTTCTGAGCTGAGCTGCCTTTGAGGATCTCCCAGAGACCACTTGGGTCCCCCCTTGAGAATTCTTGCTCTGTATCTTATGTTTCTATTTAATCATCCCAAAACAGGTTTCAAGAAGACGAGGCTCTCTGGGTGTGGCCCGCTCTTGGGGAGCTTTAACTATGTAGGGTTTGGGTTTCCATCCCAGGCCAGGAAGTGGGAAGACCTACCCGAGGCAAGGTAGTGTCTGGGGACCAGAGCAGGTGTTGATGGGGGTGAGACGCTGGGTGTCCCGTGTTAACGCAGCGGCACCGGGGCCTGACCGGCCACCTGGGGCGTGCTGACCCCCACGGTGGGTGGAAAGGGAGCCCGGGGCACCCCTGCCCGGCTCTGCTGGTTCAGGGCCTCTGCCCCAAGGTGCAGGTTCTGACCTAACCCTGCTTGCCAGGAGAGAACACTGGGGCCCCTGGGATCCACAGGCGCTGTGGGGCCGCTTTGCCCTGAACCCCCTTTCTGACCAGGTGGCACCTCACGGGCCTGGGGGCCGGTGTGCCTAGCCTCTCACCCAGGTTTGTTTTGATTACGTCTGGTGACATTTGTGGGGAAACGAGGCTTGAGCTGTGCTCCCCTGTCCTCGGCAAGAGCCTCTGTTCAGCTCGGGAGCGGGGATACTAGTGCCTGGTCAGCCCCACGAGGGTGTGTAGTGCGGGGCTCCCCTGCGAAGGCCGCGGCCTTGGCGAGCGCGCGTCTGGCCCTCGTGTGCCTGCGGCGCCTTTGCCGAGCTCTGCAGACAGCTCGTCTGCTCATCTCACTTGCTTGTCTTCAGCTTAAGCCTCCACCTTCCCTCCATCTTCCTAGCCGCCTCTGTCCCCTCCCTCGCCCTCCTCAAGGGACAGCAAGTTGCATTTCCTCTGTGGTTGTGAGGGTTTAACTTGGGGTACCCAGGATACACGTCCACCTCATGGGCTGTGGAAGTCCCGGTCTTTGGAAAATCACTGGAGAGGTAAAAGCGTTCAGCCAAACCTCCGTTTAGGTTAAACCTGACGTTTGAAAAGTTGATTTGAATCAGAACTAGAGCCGTGTGGCTCTGCTCTCAGGAAGAGCCCAGATTCCCCGAAGATGGCCCCTTGAGGCAAGGCTGGCTCCAGGCCCCAGGCGCTCAGTGTGGTCTCTGCAGCGCTTTGCTGAGAAGACAAGTTGTGGTGACTTCTCTATTCCTTTTCTCGTTTCCTTGTTTTCTTCCTGGCGACAGTCTCCCATCCTGCATCCGATGGGCTGCCCCTTGGGTTTCGTTTGGCCTACATGCTGAAGTTTACGTAACAGTTCTGAAAGCGCATATGCTGTGCACTGACAAGGTCTAAATTGTCTGCTGGTTAAGACCCCAGAGTGTTTCAAGATGATCCTTCCCTTTTTCTGCTTCCTGTGACGTGACCCAGAACACCAGATCCTTCCCTGGGCCCCCCCACCCTCAGGTGCCAGCGGATCTGTTGTGCTGGCCTCGCAGCAGGGGTCAGGGGTGGCGGGGGACATGCCGCCTTCACCTGTTGCAGGTGAGAGTGGTGAAGACACCTGCTTTCTGAAGGCCGGGAGTGAGGCGACGAGGCCGTCACCGCGAGTGCATGGTGGGAACGTCCCTGCAAGGTCTGCGTTGTGCCACAGGAGGGAGAAGGCGTAACCTCATCTCCTTGGCCTTCTGGAAATACCTCAGGGTTCACTTGGAGGCCAGAGCTTCATTAGGAGCCTCCCCCCGATTATTATCCCAGGGCACTTCCGGTCAGGGTGCTGGGGAGAGTGGCAGCCTGCGTGCCACATCCCATGTCCCCACCCACCCGGGAACCCACTTCCCAGCTGGACAAGGGAGCTTGTTCCACGGGTGAGACCGTGGCCTGCTGCTGTCCCATCCCTGGGGACGCCTCCCTGCCTCCAGGGGTTGGCTGGCCCGTTGCTAGGCCGGTGGCTGCGTCTGGGCCCCCGTCGCTGTCAGCCACAGGAGGACTGTGCGTCGTGTGGGGGTCCAACGGTGCCCTCTCCGTCCACTGCACGGAGGCGGCCTCCTTCCAGAAGCAGGGCCCACGGCTGCGCTGCTCTGCTTTGGCCTCCCTGTTCCCAGATAAGATTTTCAGCGGGGCCTCCCTTCCTCCACATCCAGTCCCTGTCCCGGGCCCCTGTGGCTTGGAGAGGCACGTGGGTTTGTGGGTCCGTCTTCGAGGGCTCTTGCCTGGCCCGCCCGGGCCTCGCGTCTTGTGTTTGCCAGGAAATAGTCCAAAAAGGCCACCGTCACCACTTCCCTTGTACACTAGTGAAGGCTGGGGTTTGATCCCCGAAGGAGGCATTTTCTCCTTAATTACCTGACTCTTCACTTTCTTTGTTCCTCTTCTTCATAAATAATTGAGGCTGAAGTAAAGGAGGAAAGGTTTTGCAAGGCCTTAGCACTGCAGGCCCGGCTGAGGGGCCTTCCCTGAGTGCCCGGGGGCCACCCGTCTCCGGGGGCTGGGAGCCTCAAGCCTCGGCCTCGCCCTGAGACAGATGGGTCTCTGAGGACACAGGACACCATCGGGCGCCACCTCTTCTCCCTGCAGGCAGAATGCAGGGGGGCAAGACTACGTGCCGTCCTGATTGCCCCGGCCTCCTGTGTCTGCCCTGCACCAGCACGTGGACCTTCCTGAAGCCGTTTCTTTATGCTGGACTCCGGTGCCACGCGTGTGAAGGGCTGGTGCTGAGAGATGGGCCGTGTAGCCAGGGGGGCAGGCGGGGCCGCAGGCCTGACCCAGGGGCGCACACGGGGGTTCAGCAGCTTGGCAGCTCACAGTCCCGTGTCTCTTCAGCATAAAGCTCTCAGACCACTTGCAGATATTCTAGAAGCTTTTTTCACTATCCAAAGAGGTAGGAAATGTATTTTGAGTAATAGGTTAAATTGTCCTAACTTTAAACCTGAGAAAGCCATTAAATGTGTCACTCACAGTTCCTCAAGCAGCTAATCTGTCTCGTAAATAAAGTTAAAGGTGCTTTTCCCCAGCTGTCTGGAATGCCCTTTAGTGACCATGGACCTCATCTCTGGGGACTTTGCTCCTGTCTCTTGAGGTGGTGAAGCCTATCCCCAGGGCCCCGAGAACACAGACACGGGTTCGGTCGGTGTGTGGCCCTGTCCAGAGTCCCATGTGAGGTGCTTGCCTGGGCCACCTTCTGTTGCCCCCCGCTTCTCTCCCCACCCAGCTGCTCCATGCTTCCCTTCCTCTGGTGGGTTTCCAGATTTCTTTTTTTTTTTTTTTTTTTACTGCCGTAACTGAGCCAGACCTGGGACTGGCTTTGTCTTTGCTGAAGGGCTTGTGCTCAGTGTGAACGATTACAGAGTCAAAAAGCAGATTGAAGAAGCCAGTGAGGGTTGTAGGCACCTGGTCTACGCTTTCGGGGAAAGGTTGGTCTGCAGGGCTGCAGCCAGCCGGGCAGGCAGGGGTGAGTGGGTACGGATGCCGGGCAGCGCCAGCCTGCCGGGCTGAGGGCAAGCGCCTCCCTCACCTGGCTTATCTTCTGCAGGACCCAAGGGACTGGCCTGGCCCACTCCAAAATGGCCTCAGCCTCTCTGTTGCTCTGACGAACCTGCCGGGAGGGAGCCCAGTGGCTCTGCGGATGCGGATGCTGATGCAGGCGCCCAGGCTCCGGGCTGGGCTGGGCTTTAATACAGATCTTTAAAGTTCCTTGACTCCAGTACCTAGCTATACGCAGAATGGCATTTTGCACATGTTGGACAGAAATAAGAGGATCAAGCCCCGGCCAGAAAGATTCCAGAACTGCAGAGACCTGTTCGATCTGATCCTCACCTGTGAAGAGAGAGTATACGATCAGGTGGTGGAAGGTAAGGATGTGGACTGGGCGCCCCGCGCCCCTGCTGCTGCCCTGCCCGGCATGGCCTGGGGAGCGGTGGGGGGGGGGGGTGCTGGGCGGGCAGCGGAGCAGATTCCGCCGTGGCCGGGCTACCCCACCCACTGCTCCCACTTCCTGGCCCGGGGCTGGCCAAGGGTTCCTGTGGGCCGGAGAGAGTAGAGTGGGCAAGGCCGGAGTGGGGCCCTCCCTCCTCCCTGGCCCCCAACCTGCGTGGCCCACGTGAGGCCGGAGGTGGGGGGTGGGGAGGTTGTGGCCTTCGGCCGCCCACGTTCATCAGCGCAAAACCACCTGCACGTAGGCTGCCAACATCGTGCAGGTGGCAGGTGTTAAGTCTTTTGGGCACGTGACAGGCGTGTGTGAAACAGGAGCCCGGGGCCTGGTACGTGGTGAGACCGCGGGCCGGCTCGTTGAGGGTAACCGTCACCGCGTGCGGTGTGCGTCTCCTCGCGGGCGCTCGGGCCTGCCCGCTTTATTTCCCGGAGGCCAGAGGCAGGGAGCGCACGTGGCCTCCCGCGCGCTGGCTCTGAGGCCTCTGACGGCTGTGTCCCGTCCCGGTCAGATCTGAACTCCAGAGAGCAGGAGACCTGCCAGCCGGTGCACGTGATCAACGTGGACATCCAGGACAACCACGAGGAGGCCACCCTGGGGGCGTTCCTCATCTGTGAGCTGTGCCAGTGTGTGAGTGTCCCGGCCCCCCGGCCCCCGTGCTGGCCCAGGGGTCCAGCTCTGCCTGACTTGGGGCCCCAGGGAGCAGGCTCTGCTAGAGGGACTGCCTTCTCCTGATACAGGGTTTTACTGGGAGAGTGGCTGTCACGTGATTCGATTCGGACCCGGGTTCTTTTTTTTTTTATTTTTTATTTCTAGGAGAGAGAGAGAGACACAGCGTGGGCAGGGGAGGGTCAGAGAGAGAGGGAGTGACAGACTCTGAAGCAGGCTCCAGGCTCTGAGCTGGCAGTCAGCACAGAGCCCGACGCGGGGCTCGAGCCCACGAACCGCGAGATCATGACCTGAGCGAAAGTCGGTCGCTTAACCGACTGAGCCACCCGGGCGCCCCAGACCCGGGTTACATTCAAATGTTAAAACCCAAGTAAACACAGCGGTGCCCGCAGGTCTGTGGATCAGCCACACAGCTTTGGCTTGAGAACTTTGCGTCTGTGCCTTTTGTCGGGCTGACGGAAGTGAGGTGCCCTGCTCAGTGTCCGGCTTCCATGGAGACGGCCGTGTGTGCCCACCCAGACCCTCTTCCGGAACCCCGGCGACATTGAGCGGAGCCTGGGGGCCCCCAGAGATGCTGTCAGCGCTCTGTCAGTCCTTGGCCTTCCCAGATGGCGCTGGGCAATCCTGCCTCGTGTGGAAAACCCAAGGGCTTTTGGGGCCGCTGTGTGGCTCTGCTCAGGGCAAGATCTTCCCTCTCAGATGTGACCAGAGGACCCATCCCAGGAGAAACCCATGCGCCGTGTCCTGTCTTCTGCCCGTGAGCTGGCATTGAGGTCAGCTGGCTAGGAGTGACAGAACTGAGGGGAACAGGTGGCTTAACCAAGACGTCCAGAGGCAGGCAGGCCTGGACTGGTTTGCTGGGTGAAGGGCCCAGGCCCTGGTCTCTCGTTGTTCCACCCGGCACAGCCTCTGCTCCCAGCACGGCCGTCGTGCAAGAGAAAGGGCTAAAGGGGAGCACATGTCCCAGAAGCTGCACATGCGATTGCCATTTGCGTCTCCCTGAAGAGAGGTGAGGTTCCGAGGCCGCCTCCCCAGAGGCACAGCCTGCAGGCCCGGACTTGGGCCCCTGAGCAGCCTGTGCCGGCTCGGGACCACCTCGGGCTTTCCACCCGCAGCCCCTCCTTCATTCAGGGCAGGGCCTCCACCAGGGACATCTGGCCACATCTGCACACATTTATGGCGCTCACCACTGGAAGGGACCCTAGTGACAGCTAGCGGGTGGACGCCACAGGTCCCCCAGCGCCCTGCCGTGCACGGGGCGCCGCCGCTGCAGAGCGTGAGCTGGCTTTGGGCTCTGCTGAGTGACTGGGCGAGTGGCCGCCTTTGCAGGCTGAGGACGGTGGAGGCAGCGAGTTCCCACTGTGTGCTCGGGACATCTGTGGGCAAGCCCGGTGGGCTGCGGCAGGGGGAGGCCCGGGAGGCCGGGGGGGGGGTCTGGGGAGCACAGGGGCCACTGGGGCAGGGCGCGGCAATCACCCCCCCCCCCCCGCACCTGCTCAGGCGGCCCGTCCGCTCCCCGCAGATTCAGCACACGGAGGACATGGAGAACGAGATCGACGAGCTGCTGCAGGAGTTCGAGGAGAAGAGCGGCCGGGCCTTCCTGCACACGGTCTGCTTCTACTGAGCGCCCGGCGCGCCGCCTGCCCTCCCGAAGCCGTCTTTCCGAGCTTCCTTTTGTTAATACTTTTTCCTCCCCGGTACCTGTTTTTACTTTTAGGTATTCTGCTGGCGGACGGCAGCAGTTCCCAATAAAGTGTACATACGAAATGAGAAGATCCACGTAAACACCAGATTAAAAACAAGTCCAGTTTGTCTTTCCCACGTCACTTATGAGTGGGATGTCAACGATAAAAGTTTTCTTTCTTTAACCAAAAATGTAAACAACGGTTTATAGTACATTGTCCCCATACATCTGTGGCTTTCACTGTGGTCCCTTCCCCTGCGCCCCCAGACTGGCTCGAATGTACAGAGAACCCGAATGGGGCAGTCGCTCCTGCTAGGAAAGAACCTGCAATCGTCCAATAAATAGATGCTGCTGGTCGCCGTTGCGTTGTCCTGAGTCGCCCACCCGGCCTGACCCTGCCGCCGGCCCCCGAGGTGGGCGTGGGGCGGCCTCCAGGACCTGTGGGACCCTGAGGTCCTGCTGCCCCTGGGGACTGCCTGCCAGAAGATGGAGGGAGCCCTTCTCCCCGCGCCGCCACCTCCTGGGGCCGAGATCAGTGCTCCCAAAAAGCCCTATTTCCCGGTGACCCTCCCAACCACCACAGCTGTGGAAATCCCTGGGTCCCCGTGGGGAAGTGGTAGGGACCCGCGCGCCTGCCTGCCCTCTAGGGCTTGTGGGTGAGGGCTTGGTGCGGAGACTCCCCCTCCCCACCCCACCCCCAGGACCCCAGCATCCCGGTGGCAGCCTGAGACCCACAGACGCTGGCCTGGGCTCCCCGCTGCCCAGTCCCAGTGCCTGGTGCAGACTCCTCAGGCAAGAGGGGGCTGAGGCTGGCCCTGCCACCGCTGTGGGGCCCCCTTTGGTCTTTGCTGGGCCATGTGGCCGTGGCTCTGGAGTGACCTCCCTGGCAGCTCCCCAGCGGCCCTGCAGGGCGCTCCACCAAAGGCAGGTACTTGCTGGAGGAAGCCGGGTGCCAACCAACCTGCCTGCGGCCGCGCGGCCCAGGAGGAGGGGGTCTTCAGTCGAGCGCTGGTTGGGAGGGTCCGCGAGGAACCCCGGGGCCCACCCTGGGACCGCCCGGCCCGGTCGGGACGTCGCGGGGGGTCCAGGGCCGGGACTGGCCAGATGGGGACGAGATCCCGCCCTGCGGTCCCCGGGGAGAGGTCCGGCCGGCGGCGCGGGGCGGCGCGGGGCGGGGCGGGCGGGCGGGCGGCGCGGCCCCTCCCGGGAGGCGGGCGCGGAGGGCGGGCAGGCGGCGGAGGCCGGAGCGGCGCCGAGCGCGCGGAGGGAGGAGGCCGAGGGCGGAGCGGATCGCGCGGGCGCGGCGAGCGCGGCGGCCGAGCGACCCCGGGAGCGGCCGCGTCCCCTGCCCGCCCCGCCCCGCGCCTCCTCCCCGGCGGGTGCGCGGCGGTCTGACCTCTGCGGAGGCGGCGGGGGCCCAGCATCGGGCCGGGGCCGGGGGGGCGCCGGGGCCGGGGGGCGGCGCTCCGGCCCGGCCCGGCCCCGCCCGATGTCCATGAGCGCGAACACCATGATCTTCATGATTCTGGGGGCGTCGATCGTGATGGTGAGCGGAGGGGCTTCCCGTGCGCCCGCGCCCGCCTCCCGCGCCCGCGCGCCTCCTCCCCCACCTCCCGCGCCTTGTTTACCGGCCCGCGCGGCCTGCGCTCCCATCCCGGGCTGCCCCGCGCTCCCCATCCCCGGGCTGCGCTCCCCATCTCCGGGCTGCGCCGCGCTCCCCATCCCCGGCCTGCGCTCCCATCCCCGGGCTGCGCCGCGCTCCCCATCCCCGGCCTGCGCTCCGCATCCCGACTGCCCCGAGCTCCCCGATTCTGGGGCCGCCCCGGGCACCCCTATCCCTGGCCTGCGCTCCCCCACCCTCAGCGCTCCGCACCCCTGTCCCCCAACCCCCGCCCCGGGGCCCCGGCCAGGCCCGCTCCTCGGCGCTGACCGGTCATGGGCTCTTCCAGGCCATCGCGTGCTTGATGGACATGAACGCACTGCTGGACCGATTCCACAACTACATCCTCCCGCACCTGCGGGGCGAGGACCGCGTCTGCCACTGCAACTGTGGCCGGTGAGTCCGCGCCCGTCGGGCACACGCGTGATCACACATGTGCGGCGGCGGGCCGCTGGGGCGCAGGCGAGCCCCAAGCAGGCCTGGCTGCAGGACTGCGCTAGGCCCGTGGGGGAAGGACTGCCCAGCCTCCGCTGGGCACCTGGGGATTGGCCAATCGGGTTTCAGCAGGGGGGGCATGCCCGAGTAGTCAGGACCCCCTCCCAAAATGCCTGTAGAGAAAGGGCCTGTGCCAGGGGATGGACAGAATGGGCCCCGGGCCTCCTGGTCCAGGGCCTGGGAGCCAGGAGGGTGACAGTCCAGTCCTGTAGGATCCTGCGCACGGCCCTGCCCGCAGAGTGCACCATCCTCCCCGGGCCCTGCACTAATGTTCATGAACTTTCCTGCAAGCCAGTTACGGGGAAGTGCAGAAGGTCAAGGTGGGCAGGGCCATCTGGTCCCACCCTCCTTGTACAGAGGAGGCTCTGGGGCCCAGCTGGGTGTGGCTTGCTCAAGGTCATCCAGAGAGGGATGGGAGAGCCCAGGCCCCCACATCCACCTTGTGAACGCCCCCATTCTGTGCACATGTAGTACTGGAGTCTTCCTGGCCATGCATGTTTGTACGTCCATGTACAAAATAAACATCTTCTCATGAGACGCGCATATGTGTACTGTCTGTGCATATACATGTGCGTACACACAGCACACATACACATTCGCATGCACACCATCCCCATAGAGAGCCCTCCTGCTGGGACCAAAGGAAAGCAGAAAGATGCTTGGGTGGATAGAGACTTGCCCAAGGTCACACAGCTAGTAAGGGGCCAGGGGCGTGAGCCCAGACACTGTGTTCCTCACCCTTGTCCTGTACTTCTGCTCCGCGGACGTGTGCGCACACACAGTGGGTGTGGGGTTGTGTAGGAGAGGCGGGATCGTGTCATGCCTCACTAGGCATGCTACATGCCTGTGGGTGCGGGCCAGCGTGTGGAAACAGCACAGAAGTCGAGAAGGTAGAGAGGGGCGTGTAAATGACCCTCACGTGTGCTGGCCAAGAACCATCCAAAGAGTTTGCTGGGCGGGTGGCCACGCTCTGCCAGAGACCCCTGCGTTCCTTTCCGGTGCACACGACCCCGAACTAACGAAAGGCACGCGGTCAGCCCCACCGCCTCCTGAGACAGCGATGGCTGTGAGTAGGTGTAAACTGGGGTGGCGTTGAGACCCTCCCAGGGGCTGGCAGTGTGCGCAGCAGGAGGCCCAGGCCCTGAGCTCCGAAAACATTAGGAATACACATTTCACATGTGTGTGGGCTAGTGTGTTATGACCTGTGTGTATGTGCCTGTGGCGTCACGCCAAGGGCCCGTCTGGGCAGGCAGGGTTTGCTTCAGAGTGTATCCGCCCAGGGTGTGCGTACGCGTCATACGTAGCATCCAGACCACACGTGGACTCGGGTAAAGCGAGTGACCCCGGAGCGCGGCCGCTGCTCCTAGTCCTGTGCGCACAGGTTAGCGTGTCTGTGGATGCCGGAAACACGGAGAGCCACACCTGCTGCAGACAGTTCCTGGGTGTGCATGTCCACATGTGTGCTGTGTCCGCATCACTTCATACGGGAGATGTAAATTCCATGTACACCGCATCCTTACATATGGACATGTATGTGTATGCACGGCACATGTAGATAGTAAATAACAGCATACAGCAAAGAGGGTGCTCCGTGCGGGCACCGCGAGTCTGTCCGCAGAGAACAGTTTTGCACACAAGGTATCCATGTGTCAGCTGTGTACCCAGCTGCCACGGTGGACGCTACCCACGTGTGTGTGCCCCTGTGTGCAGTGAGCAGGCCACGACACCCACAGAGGATGGCTGTGTGCAAAACTGCGTGCATGTGCATGTCCATGTGATGCGCACCACGCTCGTGCCTGGGCAAGCATGCACATGCACACGTGTCGAGCTCGCGGACCTGACCCCCCGTATACATGCCATGTCCAGTGCATGTGGCCGGCGTGTATACAAACAGGCATCGGGCCTCAGGCAGACACCAGCAGCATGCGTGGCCCAGACAAGACCCATGTATGTACACATGAGAATCTGGGTGCACATGTGAGACCTGAGCCTCTGTCGCCAGGGGCCTGACTGGGAGGGAGGAGGAGGGTTGGCGCAGGGAGGAACTATAGAGGCCAGGCCAGTGGTGGGGGCACAGGCTGTGACCTCTGACCCCCTGGAGGTCCTGAGCCACCAGGCCGGTTTGGGGCCCTGGCCTCACCCTGCTCGCAGGGCACCAGGGGCATCTCTGGCTTCTTTGACAGCTTGACCTTCAAGCTCCCCGCCTTGACCAGCTGTGTGCGCAGGGGCGCGAAGCAGCAGAGGAAGGCCCCGCCAGGGGTCTTGGGCACAGAAGCCTGGGCAAAGCGGGAGGTGACAGCGCTGCTCCCAGCGAACAGGCCCCGTGCAGCCTGCCTGGCCCCGTGCGCCCCAAGTGACGGGCACCTCGAGAGGGTCATGAATCTCCTGGGGATCCGGCCGTGGCTGCCCATTCCCGGTGGCCATTAATAGTTTTCCACCACTTATTGGTGACTAATGGTGGCTCCTGACAAACTGTCAACAGATGAGCAGGGCCGTCCTTACTGACGGACTCCAGGCTGGTGGCCCCTGTGCTCCGTGGGGCTGTGGCTGAGGCCTCCCCACTGGGACTGGTCGTACTCTGGACACGCTGAGCAGGGCGGCCTCCGGGGGTTCCCGAGAGGAGAGGAGGGGGGTGTGAGGAGAGGCCCGCCCCCTGCCATCCCTGCCGGGCTCCCGCAGGGAGGAAGGCACCGGCCATCAGCAGGGAAGGAGCAGCGGGACCTGAGATCAGGGGAGAGTAGTGGGGTTTCTGGTTTTGAGACGTGCCTCTAGGGGACAGGGGGATGTGGTGCAGCCGGGAGGCTGGGGTGGGGAATAGGGGGCTGTCTTGGCTGAACACCAGGCGGAGGTGCCAATATCTGAGGGGAAGATGGGGAGAAGCAGGTTTGGGGAGGGAGGAACTATTTTTAGTTGTGAGTTTGAGGTGTCGGTAGATCCCACGTGGAGACGCGCACAGGCAGCTAGAGCAGACGCGGAGGGGTGGGGGGGCAGGGCCTGTACGGGGTGGGGCTGGAGGGGAACCGGGAGAGGTGGCCTCCTGGGCAGAAAGGGCCCCGGAGTGGTCCCTGCACTGTCAGGCAAGAGCGAGGGCTGCAGCCAGTGAGGACGGACCCCACAGTCCCTCTCCTGGGCTCTCCTGTAGGCCGAAGCAGAGGAGGGGGGTGGGGGCAGGCCCAGAGTCTGTTGTCCTGGGTGCTGATCTGG